TATATATATATATACACACATATATATGTATATATATATGTATATATATATATAAAATCTATCATATCATTTGAAATCATCCCATATATTTATATGCCAAACTGCAGCTTTTTTTAATATGAAAAATGGTATAAATGTTCTAAGCCAGATAAATGAAACACTTCCTCTCCCAATGAAGTAGCATTTTACAAGTAACTATTTGATACCACTAAGGAAATGCATTACTTTGCTCAATCCTTATTAATATAAATGGAATTTAGGATATAAGACAAATGTAACAATATATTTTAAAAATATCTTTCAAGAGTGGTTTTGTCATATCAAGTAATATATATGAATGAAAGCATAAAATAATAATGCATTACATAAAATATATTAATATTCACTTTCCATCAGTAAATGAATAAAATAATGAGTTATTTAATCATTAGTAAAACCTGTCTTGATAGATTATAAAGGGAAATGTCCTAGTTTTAAAAGTCCTAGGCTATAATACTGATCTTGTACTGATACGATAAATCTTAATGTCTTCTGCAGAATAGAAGCAGCTAGTCTAAATGAGTTTTGAGGTTTCTAAGAGTTTTAGGGTTTATTGTTTTAATACAATGACAACAATAGAATAGCTTGTTGAAATTTTTACAAAACAGGTATTCGCCAAAAAAAAACCCCAGGAACTCTTCAATAAGGAAATACTTCCTATTGAAAGTCAATATTAAATTGGAATTAGTACTGGAAAATTGAATTGCAGGATGTTATATCATGTACATTTCCACTTTAATATTTCATAAAACTTCCCATTTTCTTGACAGCTCTTTGCTGGGATGGTTATTAACTCCTGCATTCACCATTTTTGGAAGAGCAAAGACACTGTCATCACACTGACAACTGTCATCAATACAGAATGTAGTTTCATCATTTCAAATATAGGTCACACAGACCTATATTTACACAAAGGTTCATATATGACATCCCTCCTCTTCAAGTGGCACTTAAAGAGTCTGAATTCAATGCCAAGTACTTCCAAAATCAAATGTGCCTGAGCATATGTGGCCTGTAACATAAAGGACATGGCAAATCTTTTATGTAGGGTCATTGGTTGAGGGCAGCTCCAGTGAAAAAGGTCATGGACGAAGTGGCATTTCAGGAGCAGAGGTTTATGATGTGCTGATACAGTTGAACGGAAGAATCTAAGCATAAGGGAAATACAGATGATTGCATTATTTTACGGATGACCCAATACACAAAATTTCTCAATAGTAATTAAAATGACAAAACATATCAATCCCACCTTTATCAAATTTTTCAAAGGTGTATGTCCTGCAGAAACTTTATGGACAAATAAGGTTTCCAAAAGATAGCGGATATAGTGTATACAATGACAGAAGCAAGCCACACTAGAAAGAAGATAAAAAATGAACATTAAATTCACTTCCAAAGGTCTGGCTTGCCTTCTGTATAAGACGTTTTATTATTTATTTTTATTTAGTTTGCTACAATATTTATTAGGAAATGTTTCTACTAATCAAACACTAATGTTTATTTCAATATTGTTATGCTAGAAAATTTCTAAATTTATTTCACAATAATAGTACTATTACAACACTCTCTATAAGTTTACTTCTGATGACACTCAAAATATTTTATAATACCAGTCGTAAGCTATAAGCTCACACCTACCCCAAGAATACATAAAACTATAGATGGACTCATATCAAAATGCCTCAAGAATGAAGCAGAAAATGTACACTTTTGTTTTGTTCTAGTATGGTTGACATACAATGTTATATTAATTTCAGGTGTACAACATGGTGATTTAACAAGTTTATGCATTATGCTATGCTCACCACAAATATAGCTGTCATCTATCATCATACAATACTATTACAATATCATTGACTATATTCTTTATACTGTGCCTATTACTCCTGTGACATGTTTATTCTGTAACTGGAAGCCTGTGTCTCCCTCTCTACTTAACCCATTTTGCCCCCCCCCCCCCCCCCCCCCCCCCCCCCCGCTTTCTCCCCTTCCCCTCTGCTACTTGCTACTACATGGATAGACCTAGGCTATTATGCTAAGTGAAATAAGTCAGATTGGGAAAAACAAATACCACATGATTTCACTCTGTGGAATCTTAAAAAAATAAATAAATGAAAACAAAAACACAACAAAACAAATGAATAAACAAACACACAAAAAGCAGAATCAGACCTGTAAATACAGAGAACAAACTAATGGGTTTCAGAGGGGAAAATTTACAAGTTTTAAAAATATCCAAAACCTACTTAGACTTCATTTGACATTTATAATATTCAGAATAACTTTTTCATTGTTTGGCTTTCCTTCAACAAGAACCACACATTGGAAAAGTTTGAACTTCATTTTTTATGGAGGCAGGACAGCTTTTTTGTTTTGTTTAGTTGGTTTTATGTTTGGTTTTTGCCTACCTCACAAATTGTAATGTCTTGTTTATTTCTTTGAGTATTTGTTTTGTTGCTGTTGTTCTAAGTTAACATCTCTCTTGCCATTTATAAAACTATTATTTTTTTTTTTAATTTTTTTTAACGTTTATTTATTTTTGAGACAGAGAGAGACAGAGTATGAACGGGGGAGGGTCAGAGAGAGGGAGACACAGAATCCAAAACAGGCTCCAGGCTCTGAGCTGTCAGCACAGAGCCCGACGCGGGGCTTGAACTCACTAACTGTGAGATCATGACCTGAGCTGAAGTCGGCCGCTTAACCGACTGAGCCACCCAGGTGCCCCTAAAACTATTATTTTAAAAGTAAATGTCAGATGTGATTTACAGAAATATATACTCTTGCTTATGCTTAAAATATATTTCCATTAAAATCTGTACTGCATTTGTTAAAATCATAAATTTCAAAAACTGACATCTATTCAAGATAATCAATATGGATCAAGAATTGCATACTTAAGCCAATAAAGTTTGAACATAAAGATCATGTCATTTACTCTATGTAAAATCAAACATTGAGTCTCCCCCGGGAGTTTATTTTAACAAAATGAATTAATGATTTCTGGTTAATGATATCAGTGACTTTAGGGAAAACAAACACAAATCAACCTGGTTAAATCCCAGGGAATTTATTATTATTCATTAATTCATAAATGTAAGTTTGCATCTATCAGGAGAGGGGCATGTTCTATGTGCGTATATCTATGAATAACAGACGAATTCTGTGAGAAGTGAGAAAACAAGTGTGGATATCTGGGGGCAGAGCTTTCTAGACAGTAAGAAAAACAAAAGTGAAGTTCTAATTTAGGAAGATGTCTTATGAGCTTAAAGGATTGATGAGGGAATCAGTATCTTTCCTACCTTGTTGGTTCTTTGTTAGGAGTATTTCTATAAATCCTTGAGTGAGAAAATTTTCCACTTTATAAGAAATCATAAAGTGAGGTTATGCCCAGCTATGTAGCAGATCACTAAATAATAAATTTTAGTTCAAGCCATGGTTAAATTAGTTCACTTATTTTTCTGCTCCTACAAAGCACCAAATTTCTTTGTACCACAAATAATTTCCACATGAAGATTTTCTAGTTAAAATCTGACTCATCCTTCCAGAAAACAAAGAAAATGGTTGATATGCCACTTTCTTAGAAAAGCCAGCTCATAACTCCCATCCAAGTTAGGTTCTTCTCTTTTATAATCTAAAAGCGCCCAATGTAAAATAAATATGTTTGTAATTGGTTCATCCTTCTAATCATTCAAAACACTTTTACTGAGTACTTCTTGTAAACCAGGTCATGTTAAACAGTGAAGATAAACTGAACATGAAAGTAGACCCATCATAGAACTTTGTAGAGGGAAAGATACAAACAAGTGATTATGTGAACATATAATTTTAAAGTAATAAATTGCATAAAGGAAGAACATTTCAGTAGCATGCTTGTCATACAAAGAATAGGAATGGCCACCCAGAGTAAGAAACACTGAACTTTTTTTGAAGTTTAAATAAGAAAGAAGAAATAAGTAATTGGGATGGGAGAAGAGGGATAGCATGTGTAAATGTCCTTGTGAGAACCGGAACATGGTAGGTATCAGGACAAGAAAGACCAGTGTGGCTGTGGCACAGAAATCAAGGGTAAGGGAAAGCTTGATTTGAGATGAGAAAGTCAGAAGTGAAATCACTCTCTATCTTCTAGTATTCCTATGACCTAAATTTTGCTTATTTTTTTTTAAGTTGATTTATTTTGAGACAGAGAGAGAGGAAGGGAGAGAGAGAGAAAGGGAGAGCATGTGTGAGTTGGGCAAGAACAGAGAGAGGGAGAGAAAGGATCCCAAGCAGGCTTCACGCTGTCAGAGCAGAGCCCCAGGTGGTGCTCAATCTCACAAACTGTGAGATCATGACCTGAACCAAAATTACGAGTCAGATGCTCAAATGACCGAGCCACCCAGGCTCCCCTGAATTTAAGCTTTCCTTAAATTTTGTTCCTTATTTCACTTAGAGTTTAGTCATTAAATCAGGTTCTTTTTTTTTTTTCTTAACAAATTGCTAACACTACATCTCAGTTTAGCATCTTGGATAATTATTCTTTCTCTTTAATTTGGTAGTAAGCTGAGAGAAATACAGAGACAGAGAGACAGAGAGACAAAGATTATTTTCACAGTATGTTATATATTGTGCTTTGATAACTGCCCTCATCCTTTTGTGTACCTTATTTTTACTTTTCACTTTAAATTTTTTTTTTTTTTCAACATTTTTTTATTTATTTTTGGGATAGAGAGAGACAGAGCATGAACGGGGGAGGGGCAGAGAGAGAGGGAGACACAGAATCGGAAACAGGCTCCAGGTTCCGAGCCATCAGCCCAGAGCCTGACGCGGGGCTCGAACTCACGGACCGCGAGATCGTGACCTGGCTGAAGCCGGACGCTTAACCGACTGCGCCACCCAGGCGCCCCTACTTTTCACTTTAAAGTAAAACTTAATTTTGGATTTTGACCAACTAAAGTTAACTTATAAAACTTTTTTGGGGGGAGTGCCTGGGTGGCTTAGTTAAGTGTCCGACTTGGCTCAGGTCATGATCTCACAGTCCGTGGGTTTGAGCCCCGGTGTTGGGCTCTGTGCTGACAGCTCATGGCCTGGAGCCTGCTTCAGATTGTGTCTCCCCCTCTGTCTGCCCCTCCCCCGCTCAGGTTCTGTCTTTCTCTCAAAATAATAAGCGAATATTAAAAAAAAAAGTAAACCTATTTTTTTCCTATTTGTGTCATTGTTTCTTTCCTACAAATTTTGCCCATATTTTTAGAGAAGTATGTGTTTTATTATATTTTATTTACTATCACATCTTCAGCCCTATGTATGACCTCTCAACTTTATAATCTTAACCTTTTTGTGATATTTTTAAATGTCCAGATTTCTCCTACTGTGATCATTATGAACTTATATTACTTCCACTTTAAGGTATATTTAATAGTTCTTTGTATATAAATTTGCAAGTTGGTGTGTATACATTATTTAAAGTTACTTAAAATATATTTCTATAACTGTCATCCTCTTTGAGCTTATAAACAACCTTAATATCTGTGTGCTAGTTTTATCTCCTCCTAACCTATAGATATGATACGTATTACTTACTGTACCACTGGGTGGCGCAATCTTCTAGAGCTCTCTTTCATGTCATATATGTATGGGATCCTCAAATAAAAGAGGAGATATATCAGCAAAGGTCCTGTGTATTCAGCCAAAAATACCTGAAAGAAGGTGATATAAATAAAAAATAATAGAATGTTATTAAGATTTCCATGTAAACATAATAAGCATGTCCACCGGCAGCCTACTGAATGAACTGGTAAATTGGATAGGTAGCATTATTATTTAAAATGTATTAGACTGTGTGCTAACAAAATTAACAAGAAGTCTTCCTTGGAAGAACTAGTCAAGACTTAAGGAAAGAACAATTATCAATGGTGAATTTAAAATAAAAATATTGGGGCACCTGGGTGGCTCAGTCGGTTGGGTGTCCGACTTCGGCTCAGGTCATGATCTCACAGCTCGTGGGTTCGAGCCCCATGTTGGGATCTGTGCTGACAGCTCAGAGCCTGGAGCCCGCTTCAGATTCTATGTCTCCCTCTCTCTCTGCCCCTCTCCTGCTCACACTCTGTCTCTCTCTCTCTTTCTCTCAAAAATAAATAAACATTTAAAAAAATAATAAAATAAAAATGTTGAAATAATGTAATGATTTCTTCACAAAGGAGTTTTTATTTAACCATTATAAACCTATTTCTTTGTGTCTCCTCAGTCAAACCATTATAAACCTATTTCTTTGTGTCTCCTCAGTCCCATATACATTCCATCTTCTATGTAAACTGTCTCTGTTGCTGAATGGAATTGGCTACAGTATCTATCTTTTTTTTTTTTTTTTTAATCTTTATATGGCTGTGTCATCTTGAATTCAATTGATTTGACACTGATTCAAATAGAAATAATTTAGTTCTCTTTTTTGGAAATTTTAGACCTTGATTCTAATGCGTCTAAGTAGGTAGTTAAAAGGATTGCCTTCTGAATTCTGAAACTGAGAGTCAACCATGTATGTGGAGAGAGATTAGAGAAATAATCATAAGATTTGGAAAGATAAGTGGAAACAAGGCTGTTTGATTGCATGAAGTTTCACCAGCTGACTATTTTTCTGATAGTTTTCTAAATCTTATAACTGTCCATTATTTGGTTTTGTTTTGATGCTAAAACAAGATTAAAGTCACTCTGGAATTTCAGAGAGAAAAAGGAAAATAATTTACCTCTGAGTGTTCAAAGAGAAAGGATGCAAACATGACAATGATAAATTCAACTGCCATTACTGCTTTGCTTTGTCTTTGCCAATTTTCATCATTTTCTAAGAAAGAAAATGTAAAGCTGCACATGTTTTACTCAAATATACAGGTGTGCACATTGATTAAAAATTATGTTGTTATCTCTTGTGAGAATTTTATGTAACTGCATCTTTATAACATGATATATGTTCATAATTATATATAGAACTATATATACATATATATATAAATATTTAAATATGTATAAATATTTATATATGTAGGTTTGTTTAGATTTTTTTTTTCATTTAACAGTATTTATCATCTCATTAGCCAAAAAAGACTTTTATATGAGGGTAACATGCAACATCTGACAAATTCAGTATCAAACAAACCCTTTACTGATGGACTATATTAATTTATGGCATACAACATGCCTGATTATTCAAATGTAAAGAAAAAAATGTTTACCACTTTTGAATGTCTGATAATAGAGTCTGGTTAATATTCCAGAATAATTAGAATAATTGTTCTATTAAAACAAAATATTCAAAATATTTATTTCAATGCCATCTGATCTAGCCAGGTCAATTTTGAGCAAGTCTTCCAGTAATATATCAGTAATGAAAAATGTTATGAACAATAGTTAACCTTGATCATATGCCACTCTTTATTAAGTTAATAAAAATGCTATCACAAATATGAAGTTTCTTTGAATCAGGAAATTAAACTACAGTTTTATCTCCATCATACCCTAAAATAAATCAGGAGAATCTGCTAGCTTACAGTAATATGTCTAGGATGCCCAATATTTTATCACAAATATTGTGCACCTGTAACATGGGGGTCAAAATAGTACCAAAGTATGAAGGCTGTACCCTGACCTGAAAGCATTAGAGAATGATAAGAATAATTTTTGGACAATGCATTTTAAAAAAAAAGTCTATTTGGGTGCAAGTAGAAAAAAAAAGGAAGAGAGGTGTTTTATTAAACCTAGAAAGTAATAAAAAAGTAGTTTCAGAATAAATAAAGAGCCAGATAGAGAAAAATAATAATTAGACACACTTCTGAAAAAGGATTTTTTCTTCTCCTACTAAACAAGAACAAATTCAAAACCAAAGCCAAAGAAACAAATAAATGTGCTGCTTATAAGGCCGAGCAAATCAGATGAATTTACAAAGACTAGGAAGTCCACTATAAACCAAAATTTAGTGGAAATTATATATTCAAAATAAGCAGATATCTTTTTTTTTTTTTTACTTTGAAGACACACACACGCACGCACACACACACACACACACACACACACACACACTACTTTTAAATTCCAACTTGTTTCCAATATCATTTTCTTGCTTTTGCTTTATAGAATGTTTATTCACTGTATTGAACTAATGTATGGCTCAAAATGTAAAATTCAATGATACTAGGAAAGCTAGGTAATTGAGATTTGTTTTTGGAACTTATGTGGAATATTCAACTTGGGATATGTCTAAATTGAAAAAGGAGGAAGACAATAAGCTGTTTTAGAAATATAAATTGAAACACACAGCTGCAATTGTTGCAAATTGATTAGAATCTTTGTGCTTAGATTATGCTTAATGCATTTCATTCTCTCTTGAAAAAAAAAACTTTTTAGTCCTATTATAATTAGGATACTGTGGACTTCATATCTTTTTTTAAAATTTCAGTTGAGGGGCGCCTGGGTGGCTCAGTCGGTTAAGCGGCCAACTTTGGCTCAGGTCATGATCTCGCTGTCCGGAAGTTCGAGGCCCGCGTCGGGCTCTGTGCTGACAGCTCAGAGCCTGGAGCCTGTTTCGGATTCTGTGTCTCCCTCTCTCTGACCCTCCCCTGTTCATGCTCTGTCTCTCTCTGTCTCACAAATAAATAAACTTAAAAAAAAAAAAAAATTCAGTTGACAGTTGAAAACAAAAAAATTGCACATTTCATAGTTGTTGAAAATTACTGACAAAATAAAGTAGTGTTGACCTTAACCTTCTAATGATGAGAGAGCTATTAAAATTATGAGAGCATTTCCCAATAGTAATATCACTTTTTACTGAATGAGAAGTATTGAAGCTAATATAATACTTAAAGAAGTTTTTCTCTTAATTTAACCATTATATGAGTAATATGTAATGGAGAGTTTTATTCTAGGTTATTCAAATAAACACTGTAATGAGATCAGCAAGATAAATTGATCAAAATATTTTTCAGTGTTGAAAGAGCTACTGAGTCATTGAAGAATTAGAAAGCCAAGATATTTTAATCAGGACTCTGGAATAGTTATTGAATCTAAGATGTGAGGATATGTCTTTTTGTTTTGTTTTGTTTTGTTTTTAAATGTTTATTTTTGAGAGAGAGGGAGAGAGAGGGAGGGGGAGAGAGGGGGAGACAGAGAATCTGAAGCAGGCTCCAGCCTCTGAGCTGGCAGCACAGAGCCCTATGAGGGGTTTGAACCCATGAACCATGAGATCACGACCTGAGCCGAAGTCAGCCACTTAAACGACTGAACCATCCAGGAGCCCTTAGGATATGAAGTCTGATAGCACCCTGGAAAGAAGACTAAATTTTTTGAGGGTGCCGGAGAATGGAAGGACAAAAATTGTTGGTTGGCATTTTTCAAAGACAGAGAGATAGCCTTATAAAATCTCCAGGTTTTGGGTTGAGACCTAGAAGAGTTACACCCTAGGAACAATGATGAAGCAGGAGTAGATCTGTCTTTATAGGTGCTAGAGCTCAGCCTGAGATCATTTCAGTCATCAATTGGATTAAGATGACCTAGACCAAATAACGTCATTAGTCCTTCTGCAGGAAAATAAGTCACTTTGAAAAGAAGTTAATATCATTCTATGCCTCAAGTTATCTTTAGAAGTTTTTCATACACATTTTTCTGCACTAGGTCAGAAATGTAAGGGTGTAACAGGAGTAAAGACATGTAATCAGGGGCGCCTGGGTGGCTCAGTCAGTTAAGCGTCTGACTTCAGCTCAGGTCATGATCTCACGGTCCGGGAGTTCGAGTCCTGCGTTGGGCTCTGGGCTGATGGCTCAGAGCCTGGAGTCTGCTTCGGATTCTGTGTCTCCCTCTCTCTCTGCCCCTCCCCCGTTCATGCTCTGTCTCTCTCTGTCTCAAAAATAAATAAACGTTAAAAAAATTTAATAAAAAAAATGTAATCAAATCCAAAGAAACAGCAGATTCGAAACAGATAAACTGAATATCCACATAACAGAATTATCAGACACATACATTTAAAAAATGATCTTTGTATGTTCAAAGAAATAAAAACCAAAGTTGAGAATTTTAGCAGATAGTTGAAACCTCTGAGAAGAAAAATATGGAAATGGGTGTGTGTCCCAGGAGAATACAAAGAGAATAATGGAAAACCAACTGTTAAAGAGATTATGATAATTTTCAATGAAATATTTATACAAAACAGAAGACTCGGGTTACACTCTAAACCCAAAGCGGGATAAACAGAAACAATCATAACCGTATCATTTTCCGACAGTGATAATCAAACAAAAGACAAATTTCATATGAGCCAGAGAAAAGGCACATTAATTTCAGAAGACTGTAGTGGACTTTTAGAAACAAGGGAGTCAAATATCAAAATAATGAAATTTTGTGAAATGAAGACAAATATAACTGCCAATATGGAATTATTTTTTCCCGTAAAAAGTATTTTCCAGAATAAATGTTAAATGGATATATTTAGAATGAATATGACAGAACTAGAATAAATTACTAAAGATATTCTTCAGGAAGAATGATAATGATCACAGTTATAAGAGCAGCATTAGAGGTACTAACTAAATTACAGTGAAACTGATAAATCTAAATAAATATTGGCCATATAAAATTATAGTAGTTGGGGTTTGCTTGGGTGGCTCAGTTGGTTAAGTGTCCAACTTTGGCTAAAGTCATGAACTCATGGTTTGGGAGTTCAAGCCTCCTGTTAGGCCCTATGCTGACAGCTAAGAACCTGGAGCCTGCTTCCAATTCTGTATCTCCCTCTCTCTCTGCTCCTCACCCCGTAGCACTCTGTTTCTCTCTCTCTGTCTCTCAAAAATAAATAAACATTAAAAATTTAAAAAATATTTATAGTTGTGGATTTTTACTTAAAAGTACCTAGAAAATTAAAATATATCACAACAATAGAAGATGAGTCAGGAAGAGCTCAAATATCATAAAGTCATTCAATTATCTATGAAATATCTTCACATCAGCAAACCTAAATTCAACAATGTATATGAGTGTTCAATATCTTAAAGATATACATTATAATCTCTTGGGTAACCAGTAGAGTTAGTAAAAAAGAAACCAAAATAACAGCGAGGCTAATAGACAATAAAGTATGACAATTAATTCCAAATGGAGCAAGGAAGATAAAAACAAAACAAAAGGATTGTAGACACATGAAGCAAATTGAAAGAAAATATTAAGTTTTGTGATAAAATTCAATATCTTTTATAATAAAAATAGACTATGATTAAAATGTAAAACATTAAACTATTATACCACTAGAAGAAAACATAGAAGAAAGCTCCCAGACCTAGGGCAAGACAAAGGGTTCTTTCCTATGACAGCAAAGACAAGATCTTTAAATCATTGACAACTTAAACTGCATTAAAATTGAAAACATTTTGCAAAGAAAAAGAAAATCTCATTAAGGGACTGAAAAGACAAACTAAAAACTGAAAATATTTGCAAGACACTTAGCAAAGGACTTTATCTAGAATATAAAAGATAATTTTGAAACTCAAAAGTATGTGCTAAATAAATGAAAACTTATGTTTATACACATACCTACACAAAGATAGATAACAACTTTATTTGTAAGAGCTAAATATTGAAAGAACCCAAATGTCCATCAGTGGGTGAATAAACAAACTACTACATTCATACAACCAAATACTACTCAAAATAAAAAAAACTGAGTATTGATATATGCAACAGATAGAATGGATCCCAAAGGCACTATACTTAGAGAAAATTAAACATCAATCTAACAAAAGAACCTGTTTAATTCTGTTTATAGCATTTGACACATGACAAACATATAGAAATGAAAAACAGGTCAGTAGTTCCTCCAGGTTAGGGAAAAGAGTGTGTAAACATAGAGGGATAATATGAGAGAGTTCCTTGTGGCAAGGGAACAATTCTGTATCTGATTGTGGTTTTAGATACTTGAATCTTCCCAAGAGATAAATTACACAGAAGTATAGGCACAGACACGAATGAACTTAAAAATGGTGACAAGTGAATTTGATATTTAGTTAATCGGATCTATATAATGAGGATTATTATATTAATCTTTTATCCTAAGTCTTTCAATAAGTTCAATGAGGCAAATATTTTCTCAATAATCTGTGACAGCACACTCTTACTTGATGAAAAATATTATTAAAATCTTAATTTTGACCTTGTAAAGAGACTGTTTCTAAAAAAAACAAAAAACAAAAACAAAACCCAACCCTATGATAATGCCTTTATTATAGGAGCACATTTTAATGTTTTATAAATGTGTAAGAATGTTAGGTGCAGTAAAATATTGCTTTTATTGTATAATTTACTTGATATAAAGTGGGTGTGATTGCAATGTAATGTGTATATTTTTAGCATTTAATAGGACTGACTCATTTGGAGCAAAAGATTATGTGAACCATGGGGTTGATTTAAAAATATTCATCCTATTTCCAGAGTTCTCTTTGTCACCTAAATGACTTTCCCTTCAAATAAGCTATAATTTTCTAGTACAATTGTCCTAGAATTCCACCTTAGCACTTTCTCTGCTTAGTGCTTATCCAAATGATGCAGCTGGAATTTTTAATGAACTCACCATTAATGCCACTCGGCTTGACACAACTTCTGTAGACAGAATTCCCTTTTCATCATAAATGTGGACAAAGACTATGAATATTTTAACCTTTGAAGATCAGAATCTGCTTGTCTAAAATCTCCTTTAGTAAAGGTCTGTTGATAACACATTTAAGTATTAAACCCTTTGCTTACATAATGCATGCATTAATAGGTTCTTTTATAAATATTATACTTCACAAGGATTCAGAATATTCTAAACAGTGTTTTTGTACAACAAATTAGTACTCAAAGCTGAATCAACAAACTTTGGAAACTAAAGCAACTATTTAACCAATAACACTAAAATATAAATAATGATCTAAATTTAAGAATAATATATATTAAAGGAGAGATTGTTAGAAAAGCAAAAGATGTGACAATATTGTAAGTAATAAATGCAAACTTGAATTTCTCTATTTGAGGATTAATAATAATGAATAAATTGTCCTGTGTTTGGAATAATTTTGAAAATTGAATGAGCACTGCCGTCCAGATGGAGGAGAACTTGGTGAATTCAGAACCACAAGTGTCAACATTGGTTCAATTAGTACTGCAGATGGTTCCACGTTAGTGAAGCTGGGAAATACTACACTAATTTGTGGAATTAAGGCAGAATTTGCAGCACCACCAACGGATGCCCCTGATAAAGGATATGTTGTTCCTAATGTGTATCTACCACGTCTGTGTTCCTCGAGATTGCGGTCGGGACCTCCTGGGCAAGAGGCCCAAGTGGCTAGCCAGTTCATTGCAGATGTCATTGAAACACAGATAATTCAGAAAGAGGACTTATGCATTTCTCCAGGAAAGCTTTCTTGGGTGCTGTACTGTGATATCATTTGCCTTGACTATGATGGGAACATCTTGGATGCCTGTACATTTGCTTTGTTAGCAGCTTTAAAAAAGTGTACAGCTACCAGAAGTTACTATAAATGAAGAAACTGCCTTAGCAGAAGTTAATTTAAAGAAGAAAAGTTATGTGAATATTAGAACTCATCCAGTTGCAACTTCTTTTGCTGTATTTGATGACACTCTGCTCATAGTTGACCCTACTGGAGAGAAGGAACATCTGACAACTAGAACCTTAACAGTAGTAATGGATGAGGAAGGAAAAAACTATGTTGTCTTCACAAATCAGGTGGAAGTGGGCTGAATGGAGCTAAACTTCCAGACTGTATGAGCCGAGTGGTTAGCAGATACAAAGAGGTAAAAAAGCTAATGGATGAAGTAATTAAGACTATGAAACCCAAATAAACAACCACCACATTTTGAAAACGTATTTGTAAAAACTGTATTTGTTACACTGTGCACAAACCTTTTATACTAAATAAATATCAAACTACATTCTTCTGGAAAAAAAAAGAATGTTTAACTCTAAAGGGAAAACTAAAGCACTGCCGATGATAATGTTGAATGTTGAATGCTGATTGTTGATCATGGTAAAAAGGAAAGCTATCTTAATACAGAAAATATTAAAAATGCAGTCACATCACAAATATGGAATAGAGTGTAATCAGAAAACCTTTAAAATTCTAAAAAATATAAAATAATTGAATAGAAAAATAGAATGATTGTACTATTCTTTATATATCAGTATCAAAATTATTTATCAAATTAACTCTTTTACTGCCTCTGTCACTAAATATCCCTAGTATTTCCTCTTACTACTGAAGCTATTCCATCTATCTATTCCACTACTCATCAATAGTTCAATGCTTGTGAACTAGTGCTAAAGTATGTTCTCTGTTTCTTAGTCCTACATGTCTTTAAAATGTTTTTTTAGGGGCACCTGGGTGGCTCAGTTGGCTAAGTGTCTGACTTTGGCTGGGGTCATGATCTCGCTGTTTGCAAGTTTGAGCCCAGAGTCAGGCACTGTGCTGACAGCTTACTCACAGCCTGGAGTTTGCTCCAGATTCTGTCTTCCTTTCTCTCTGCCCCTCCCCCACTCATACTCTGTCTGTCTCTGTCTCTCAAAAAATAAACAATTAAACATTTTTTAAATTTTTTTAATGTGTTTTTTTTTTTTGTTTTTGAGAGAGACAGAGACAGAGTGTGTGGAGAGGGGAGGGTCAGAGAGAGAGGGAGACACAGAATCTGAAGCAGGCTCGAGGCTCTGAGCTGTCAGCACAGAGCCTGATGTGGGAATGGAACCCACGAGTGTAAAATCATGACCTGAGCTGAACAAAGTCGTATGCTCAACTGACTGAGCCAACCAGGCACTCCAGTTCTACATGTCTTTTAATGTAGTTTTCATTCTTATAATGCCATTGGATTCAGCTGCCACCACTTTGAAAGCTCCTCCTTCAAGGAGAACCAAAAGTGTGCCACAATCTCCTAACTCAAAGATGTCTCATTACTTCATTCTGATTTTCCAAAATGTCTTCCCCTTGCCTTAGAACATTTTTTATTGAATATCCTATCTCCTCTCTTTCCAATATCAAAAGTCTTCATATCCCCAGGTTCCTAGAAGGAAGAGCCAAAGAAACACCATTTGACTAACAGCATAGAGGAAGCAGAAATAGGGCCATCAGTCCTAGGGTAGATTGACACTTACAAAAAGAATTTGCCCTCGTTTTTCCAATCAAGTATTTCCATTGCTCTAATTCTTGTGTAAAATTTTGGCCACTAATTCTAGTAAGCATGGAAAACTTAATATACTATTCAGTATAGTATTTAGTTTCATTATGAATTTATTTATTTTTTTTTTTTTCAACGTTTATTTATTTTTGGGACAGAGAGAGACAGAGCATGAACGGTGGAGGGGCAGAGAGAGAGGGAGACACAGAATCGGAAACAGGCTCCAGGCTCCGAGCCATCAGCCCAGAGCCTGACGCGGGGCTCGAACTCCCGGACCGCGAGATCGTGACCTGGCTGAAGTCGGACGCTTAACCGACTGCGCCACCCAGGCGCCCCTCATTATGAATTTATTTAATAACAATTGTCCTATCAAAATGTGGGACATGCATATTGTATTTTAAACTGATACTTACTGTAGTCCAACTGACCTGTTGACCTAGGTCTGTAAAATAGAGAGTGACAATGGAGGAAGTTGCAATGCTTTGAATGGTTATGTAGTCCTTCAAAAAGGGCCCACCTTAAATAATAAGGAAATAGTAATTTAATACAATTTCAAGGTATAGTCATTTAAAAAAACACATTTTTTAATGTGAAACATGTAAAAGCAAAGGATAAATTATACATAGAAATTTCAATGTATTATGAATATATAAAGTAAAATAAAATGTGAACAAACCCATTTTATAAGCGATATCAGCAATTTTTCAAATGTTCAGTGGTTTCCCACCTCTACCTAAACAAAGTTCAGACCACCATCTGCCACTATCCTGTTGTGTTCTGAGAAACTGTAATATTAGACAGTATCATAATTAAATCTAATACAAGGTATTTTTATAGTATAATTTAGGGATCAGTAGACGTAGATGTCAACTGTTCTCTAAATGCTTTTATTATATGATAAATTAGTTAGGGTGAATACATTTTAGTGGTCATCGCAAAGCACTAGTGGAGTGACATGATATGTTTTAGAAGATCTCTATGGATGCTGTGTGGAAACCAGGAGGAAGGGGAAGCAAGATTACTTAGGAGGAATTCAAATTCATCATGCAGGGGACTTTTTTTTTATCTTTATTTTTGAGAGAGAGAGAGAAAGAGAGAGAGAGAGAGAGAGAGAGAGAGAATGAGTGGGGGAGGGGCAGAGAGAGAGGGAGACACAGAATCTGAAGCAGCCTCCAGGCTCTGAGCTGTCAACACAGAATCCAATGCGGAGCTTGAACCCATGAACTGCAAGATCATGACCTGAGCCAAAGTCGGATGCTTAATTGACTGAGCCACCCAGGTGCCCCATGCAGGGGACTTTTTGGATTAAGATGGCACTGATAGAAATGTTAAAAATGCATCAATTTTAGATCTGTTTTGAACATAGAGCAGGTTCAACTTGAGAGGAGAGTATATCAGTGAAATAAAGACAGCTCTTAGATTTTGGCCTGAGCATTTAGGTGCATTATAATTTGGGGGTAGAAATTAAGATTTACGTTAGGGCATGTTAAGTGTGTGATATTTATTAGACATTCAAGTAGGAGCTGTCAAATAAGCAGTTGGATAAGTATGTCTGTAGATATTTGAAAGTCATTAACATTTAAAGCCACGCTGCTTGATGAGATTATTTATGTATTCAGTTTGGAAAAAGAATGGAAACTAAGACAGGTTTCTAGCACTCCAGGCTTTCAAAGTAATAAGAGAAACATACAGCAAAGATTACTTGGAGTTTCTCATGAAACTGGAGGAAAATAAACAGAACTGATGTCTTAGAAGACATGTAAAGGAAATGTTCCCTTCTTAATAATAAACACTAGATAAGTCTGGCATGTGTGTACTAAAAGATATATACAAAGATATTCTTATTAGAATTATTTATAATTGCAAAACAATTGCAAAGACTTAAATGTTCATAAAAAGATAATGGTAAATATAATTTATTTTATTCAAAGATGTACTATATACAGAAAATACACTAGAGCTAGACTAATCTCATAAGTATAATGCAATTAGTATTGCCATTGTTGTTGTTTTGTTTATATTATTCTTTATGCTAATCTGTTTGTGATTTATATTATCCTCAGTCATGGAAAAGTGTTATTTCATTCTCTTTTTTGCAAGACACATTGAATGTTAGTTTATGACTATTTTAGATTATTTTCAGAATCCAATACATTGATTTGTAATTACAGGTATCTTAAAGTAAGATAAAATATATAATTGATATATACTAATTTTGAATATTGTATTTGATGAATCCAATATGAATACAATAGGCTATCATTCCCTTGATCAGGTTATGTTATGTGGCTTCATAAGAGAGATTATTCAAGTGAGTCTGAGTTAATCATGTATTATTTAAATCTGCATGAATAGATAAGAGAAAGGAATTCAGGTTCAAAGTACTAGAGTACTAGGAATAAAGTACTAGAAAGATTTCTGGAATGAAGATGGAGAGGGCCACATGGCAAGAATGCAAATAGTCTCTAGGAACTGAAATGGCCTATAGGATGTGACAACTAGCCAGGAAATAGGAACCTCTGTCATACAACCACAAAACAACGTGAATTCTTCAAACAAGAATGAAGATGGAAATAGAATTTTCTAGAAGTCTTGAGATGAGAATTCAGCTCAACCAATACCTTGATCAGCTTTGTGATATTCTGAGCAGAGAAGCCAGCCATACTGTATCTTCAAGCTAATAAATGAGTGTTAATTTTAATTTGTTACACAGCAGTAGGAATTTAATGCAACATAGATCAAGGTAAAGACTGATATAAAAATGGTCAATAATATCTTGACAATCATGTATGACAACAAGAAATGTTAATTGGAACAAAAGAATATGATAGCCTTGTAACACCAAAAAAAAAATGCTGAAAACATCTTTACAACATACATCTATGTATTGTCACCTTTGAGGAGGGGATTCATTTCTACTCCTGTATCACTTGATGACTTCAAGGAACAGAGCATTGGCATATTTTTTATTATTTTTATTTTTTATTGGCATATTTTTAAAATGTTGTCCCATCAATATGACATTTGAATAGAAGGAATCGAGAAAATCCAGGAATATCATTAATAATGCCACTCAGGGGCACCTGGGTGGCGCAGTCGATCAGGCGTCCGACTTCAGCCAGGTCACGATCTCGCGGTCCGTGAGTTCGAGCCCCGCGTCAGGCTCTGGGCTGATGGCTCAGAGCCTGGAGCCTGTTTCTGATTCTGTGTCTCCCTCTCTCTCTGCCCCTCCCCTGTTCATGCTCTGTCTCTCTCTGTCCCAAAAATAAAAATAAACGTTGAAAAAAAAATAAAAAAAAAAATAATGCCACTCAGACTCAGTAATCCAGGAACTTTGCCCCTGGCCTTCTATGTCTATGTATGTATTCCAAAAGGAATATGTAGGGCCAAGAAAATATGCCTAAAACAGGAGCTGATGCTGTCTGTATCATGTTTCAGCATATATCATGCTTCAGCCACTTAAGGCCTCTGAATTTCCTGCCCAAATTAATTTAAACAAATCATCTTTCTTGGGCATTTCTTCCCAAAGTGGACCAGAATCTAGGGTATGTACCTAGGGGTTTTTCAAAGCTGTTGTATAAAGGGTGTGGATGATTGGAGCCAGCAATGGGAAGGACAGGGCTAACTCTTCACCTCTCTATTGTAGAAATCCAATAACTTTAAGGCTTGGAAATTTAACTCTGTGCTTCCAGAACATTATTAAGTATATTAATCAAGGTAAGAAGAGAGAACACATTTTAGTTACCAATTTGTATGACAGATTTATTACAGAAATCAGAGTTCTTTACCATTCCCATATCTGCACCATTTGCAATATGAGTTTTAGTATCTCTTATTAAGACTTGGTGTCCATTTCCCCACTTCCTTGAATATAGGTTAGCCTAGTCACTCACTTTAGCTAACAGAATGTAGGGCAAAGATCATGTGACACTTCCAAGCCTGGGCCTAAACAGTCCTTGAGTTCTTGTATTCATTTGTTTGTACCCCTGATTCCACCATGAGAACAAGCTCATAATATTCCACTGAAGCCTGAGAAACCACATAGAGTAGAGAGGATTTGATTGGCTGAAGTTATGACCAACCTAGACCAGACAGTCACCAAGAACCTACCAGCTGACGACAGCTGATTGAGTGAACCTACACAAGTAAGACCAAGTCCAGCTCAGCTCAGCACAACCCCCAAGCTAAATAAATATTTGCTCTTTTGCCCACAAAAAGCAATGTTTATTATTTTCTTTAGTTTTTATGGTGTCTTTTGTGTGATGAAACTGTAAAAGACTAAATTTACACGATGTCATTGCTCACAGTACAAGTATTCTGACAAATATATTCTAGCAGGAAATATAGGTAAATATTGAGGACCTGCTTTGTTTCAGTGTTAAGTTTTATTTCCTTAATACTAATAGCTATAACATCAATCAGCTATAACTGATTGATAAAGCATCTACCATATGCCAACCATGATAGTGCTTTATAAACATAATTTTATTCAACACTTATAAAACAAAAACCAAACCATAAGTTTGGTTCTTTATTAGCTCCCCTTTACAAAAGAAAAGATCCTATAGATAGTTAAGTAAAAGGTTTAAAATTCTGCATTACTTCAAACAACTTCTTTCTACCATATCTTGCTTAGCCTGCTAAATTAATTGACTCTTTTTTTCAAATATGACATCATACTTTTATTCAAGGACACTTAATGGCTATATTTCATTTAGATTATACCCTGTAAATGTATGTGAGGAGAAATCAAGTAAATACATGTGAGGAGAAAGTAAAAAGTCACATTCACCAGGAAGGTTGAACTAACAGAAATTCCAATTCCTTATAGTGTTCTTCAAACTGAGTTATATTTTACATTGATGCCTGTGGCATTCTAGAGTTATCATTATATACTAGTCAAGTTCAGAAAACAATATCACTATATAATTTTATATTACTTAGCATCTATGTGTTGAACTACATTTATATGCTCGGCATATATTAGGCTCTGCAGAGGCAAAAATAAACAAGATAATGAGTCTTCTCTTTTAGACTCTAGGAATTTGTCTTGGACATTTGAGCTTGGAAGAATTTGGGACCATCAGGAAAGTGTGACTTCCAAGAATACCATGTATTCCTATGTTTTCAGCATAGAGGTTTCAAAGAAAGGTGTAATATCTAAGAAACAATGAAAGCAAACACGACAGCTTAGATCCAAAGAAATAATCATTTGTCCTTGAGTAATGGTAATATGAGAGAAAAGATGGCCTGAATATTAGCAAAAGTACAAGGAAGAAAAAAAGAAGGCCTTTCATTACAGTGTAAAATAATTAGAGATTGAAATTCCTTAACAGATGTGTATTGTAGATTTACTATAATTGACTTCAAGTAAGTATTTTCTAAAACTTATAACAGCTCTTCTTGAACAAGTCCAAATTTAAGATCAAGTTGATGTAATGTTAATTACAATGATTCTTAAGAGAGCTAACTTTTAAGTGTATCTATTTATAAATTTTCTGAATGGAAAATAGGATTTGACAGTTTGAGAAACTTGAGGCTTAATACTGGATATAATATTTTCCCCAAAATTAATTCATTTCTGCTCCTCATTACCTCATTTATTTTGCTTTAAGTAGAAAATAAGAGAAAGGAAGAAAGAAAAAGAAAAAAAGAAAGAGAGAAAAAGAAATTGCTGACCAGTATCCCTGAGAACCTATTAGGAGGTAGTAGGATGAGAGAAAAAAGCAGTAAAACTTTTCGAGATAGAAAGATGTTAGTTCAGATCCTGCATCCAATGCATGTTGACAGTGAATATGTGAAAATTATCTTCTTGAGACTAAAATTCCTCATCCATAAAAATGGAGCACTAGCTTATTGGGAGAATCAATTGATATAATTGATTTACGGCACTTATTACAATGCCTGTCATTTAGTAAGTGATAAATAAATATTAGCTATTGATGAGAGAAAAGGGATTCCAAATTAAATAAATAGATCAATGAAATTTGATTCTTACCTCGTTCTAGCTGCAGGCCAACTCTAGAAGGGTACCACTTCGGACCTATTCAATGAAAAATAATAGCATTTAGTTGTCAACACAAGTGTCAACACAGTTTAAAATCCAATAGTTTCTTTGGATAAATACTTAGAGTGCAATCGCTGGGTCATAGGGTAGTTCTATTTTTAACTTTTTTGAGGAAACTTCATATTGTTCTCCAGAGTGGCTGCATCAGTTTGCATTCCCACCAACAGTGCAAGGAGGGTTCCCATTTCTCCACATCTTCAGCAACACCTGTTGTTTCTTGTGTTGTTAATTTTAGCCATTCTGAGTGGTGTGCAGTGATATCTCATTGTGGTTTTGATTTGCATTTCTCTGATGATGAGTGATGTTGAGCATCTTTTCAAGTGTCTGTTAGCCATCTCGATGTCTTCTTTGGAAAAATGTCTGTTCATGTCTTCTGACCATTTTTCATTTGGATTATTCATCTTTGGGTGTTGAGTTTGATAAGTTCTTTACATATTTTGAATACAAATCCTTTATCAGATATGTTATTTGCAAATATCTTCTCCCATTCCACTGGTTTCCTTTTAGTTTTGTTGATTGTTTCCTTCCCTGTGCAATTTTTTTATCTTGATGAAGTCCCAGTAGTTCATTATTGCTTTTGTTTCTTTTGACTCAGGAGACATATCCGGAAAGAAGTTGCTACAGCTAATGTCAAAGAGGTTACTGCCCATGTTCTTCTCGGATTTTCACGGTTTCAGGTATCACATTTACATCTTTAACTCTATGATCCAGAAATTGCATCACTAGGTATTTACCCAAAGTATACAAGAGTACTAATTCAAAGGGATACATGGATATGTTATATATAACAGCATTGTCTACTATAGTCAGATTATGGAAACAGCCCAAGTGTCCATCAACTGATGAATGGGTAAAGAAGAAGTAGTATATACATACAATGGAATATTACTCAACCATAAAAAGAATGAAATATTTCCATTTGCAGCAATGTGGATGGAGCTAAAGAGTATCATGCTAAGTAAAATAAGTCAGTCAGAGAAAGGCAAATACCATATAACTTCACTCCTATGTAGAATTTAACAAACAAAACAATCATAAGCTAAAATAAAGGGAGGCAAAGCAAGCAACAGACTTGTTAACTATAAATAACAAACTGATGGTTGCCAGGGAGGAGGGGGGGGTAGAGTGATGAGTTAAATAGATGATGAGGATTAAGGAGTGTACTTGTAGTGATGAGTACCAGCTGTTGTATGGAAGTGTTGAATCACTAAATTGTACATGTCAATCTAATATTACACCAAATGCTAACTAAATGGAATTTAAATGGAGTTTTTAAAAATGAATAATGCAACTAAAAATGGGCAGAAGACATGAATAGGCATCACCCCCTCCCCCAATAAATCTAATAGTTTCTATTGAACAGCAGATTCGATCTTAGGAAGTGCATAAAGAAGTTATCCAGTGTCATAAATGGAGATAGTAGTTACTCTTGCAGTGTGATGATGAGCAGTAGTGGATAGTTCTGGAAGAAAGCATGATGTGAGCCTTATGGGTGATAATTTTCTGTTTTTCAATTTAAGAACTGGCTACATAGATGTGTTCAATTTGTCGACCTGTACCAAGGTATATGACATAGAATTTATGCACTTTTAAGTGAGTTATTCTTCAACAAAATGCTTCAGCATCTTCATTTGACACTAAAGAACTTTGATCTCATTAATTTTTTAACACTTTTTTTAACATTTATTCATTTTTGAGAGTGAGAGAGACAGAGCATGAGCAGGGGATGGGCAGAGAGAGAGAGGGAGACACAGAATCCGAAGCAGGCTCTGAGTTGTCAACACAGGGCCTGACATGGGGCTCGAACTCACGGACTGCAAGATCATGACCTGAGATAAAGTTGGATGCTTAACCAACTGAGCCACCCAGGAACCCCAAATTAAATTTTTAAAAAAATATTGGCACCTGAAAGTGGGTTATTTTCTTTATCAAGAGTAAAGCACACAATTGGAATAATATGTATTATTGACTTTTAATAATTATGGGCCTATTGATCATAACAGAACATCACTTTAATTTAGTATCTTCTCCTACTACTGTTAGGAATAAATACAGTTTACTAAAGAATTCTACCTGGATAAGGAAATCAAAGCATACTTACTATACACAGCCACAATGGAAAAATTGGCTCATAATTACCAGAATATAATTATTTTCTCTTAAAATGAATTCTGTTATTATTTTAAAGTTTGTATTGAAAATTTAATTCTTAACTTTAATATCCAATGTTAAGCAAATTAACTTGATTTGTAATAAATTAACAGAAGAATATTGACAAAGGAACATTCCACATTGCTCTTTTGTTTTCAAAACATTAAAGGTGGCAGTAAGAGTGATGATAATGTAACATAACTAGACTATTGCAATAAATTCTATCTAAATTTACTGTAAAAGACAATTTATACATGTACATTATCTTGGACAAATAATTCATACGTCAAAAATTATAATCAAGTGTTTAAAATTATTTAGAATTATATTTAAACCAAACTTAGTAATAGCATGACAAATAAGCAGGCACAAAATTTAACTTTGGCATTTGATTTTTTTTAATTAGAAAATATGCAGATAAAGACACTTTCTTTTTTTTGTATTTACTAATACAATTATTATTTATATAGGCACTTGTTCTGGAATGTGTATTAACATTATTTGCTGAAAAGTCTTTTAAAATATTTACTTTTATTACTGTTAGTGAAAATCTGCTGTCAAAGAAGATATGTTGCAAATGCATACAGCAGAGGTTTCTATAAGTTTAAATGAATTTCCAATATGGGTATTGGAGAAAATACAAAGCTAATGGGAATCCATTTATATTGAACATTAGTCATTGAGCACCTATGATGGGTGAACATAAGCTGTCAATTTCTGTCCATTTTAATAATATTCACAAGAAACATTGCTTTCGATAGTTATTTCATGATGCCTCCTATGGTGGAAATGCAAAATTATCATTTGAAGCCCATAGATATGTCTATGATCTAGATGAGTGAATAATGGTTGAATCCACAAAGATTCATCAGAGAAGTTAGAAGCTCTAAACTCTTTCAGGGAAATCCATGTCCTCCCAAGTCTCTCAGCATGGATAAACTATAAAACTACTTATGAAATAAACTTGGCATTTATAGGTTATAACCTTTGAACATTGTGTCCTAGTGAAAAAGTTATTAACTGTTTATATAAGTCTTTAGATTAGTTTCAGTCACCTTTTCAAAGAGCAAAGCATACATTTGCTGAAATGTTCTGTGCTTATTGTGGTGAGGTGGAATAGCAGAGGTTCGAAGAATGGCAGAAAAAGACAGTTTATAAACATAAATTATAAAGAACATATGTTGCATAAGGATTTTTAGCATGGATGAATAGTCTAAAATATTATTTGTAATGTATTAGTACATTGAAGAGACAACTGGCATAGAGATGAATTACAACAACATAAGAGATCTAATGCATTGTGTGTCTAAAGTTGTCAAGATATATAACTTGATTTACGTAACTTTTTTCGTATTTTAGCCATGACTTACAGTTCTTTCCTTGATAATTGAAAGTGTTTATATCACTAATGGATTAACATTCTAAATGAGTAATATATATAATTTGATATATATGTAGTTCAGTATGTAATTAAAATATACTTATTTTAATATACTTATTAAATATACTTATTTTAATAAGGTAGTGTTTTCCAAACTGCTGGTTGTGACCCATTAGTAAATTGGAAAAAAGGAATCAGTATTATTCTTAGCATTACAAAAAGAAATAGAATAGAATAGAATAGAATAGAATAGAATAGAATAGAGTAAGTAGAGATGGATCATCATGACACTGAATAAAATATATTGGAATAAACTCTAAATAGGTTAAGTATTACTTCATGAACTTTCATTCAATATTTTAAATTTTGTAAATACATTGCATTTTTATAAGACCAATAAGAATTTCACATTCTGATTCATAGTCAAAAAGTTTTGAAATCCAAGAATCTAAAAGATTTCAATTTCCTAAATTAATTTCTATTTGTATACAGCATTCACATAGAAAGAAAAACAAGTGATTGAATTAAATTCCATAAGATTAAACAGATTCAAAGTATTTGATTATTTTACTTCTTCAAAAATATTTTTAAATTTGCATTATTAAGAAGAACAATAATACAAATTATATAGGATATATATCACATAAAATATGTCATCAGCCATATTCACTCAAGTAATATGTGCCTGATGCCTGCCTTTGCTTTCTTGTAATGTAAGACTGTGTTACTTGCCATCATTTTTATTATGATTTAAATTCCTCTTGTTGGATGTTGTTCAACAGTATAAAAATGCTCCACTTGTATTTTTAGAGGTACAATTTTATTTTATTTTATTTTTTTAAAGATTCCTTTTTTTTTTTAAGTTTATTTATTTATTTTGAGAGAGAGCAAGTGAGAGCAAGCTAGGGGCAGAGGGAGAGAGGGAGAGGAGAGACTCCCAAGCAGACTCCATGCTGTCAGCCCAGAGCCCAATGTGGGACTCATACTTATGAACCTCAAGATCATGACCTGACCCAAAACCAAGAGTCAGACACTTACCTGACTGAGCCACTCAGGTGCCTCTAGAGGTACAATTTTAAAAATTGGTAATAGATAAGTGAAATGTTTGCTTCTTGACTTGCTAGTAGAATCCACTCTATCTTTGTATATATGAAAATATAGAGCCAATTAATAGGTCATACAGACTAAAGCATACATCAAGTTATTAGCATGGTATAGTTTGAAAGATGTTAAAAATTATTATTGATAGTTCTTGATTACAGATGGTATTAAATATTTAACTGAATTTATATTATTGCTGAAAGAAGAGAAATTTAGAAGAAAAATGACTGGGAGAATTTTTCAGAAATACTAAGTATCCTTCATGACCTAGAACACTTATGTCCTCACTTATGACCCCAGGTGAAACCTCAGCCTTACTCCTACTCTTTTCTTGATTTCACCA